TGGGCGGCGTCGCTAGTTTGGGGGCGTTTTTCGCCGTTTTTTTCGCAATCTGAGTTAAAAAAAAGGAAATAAAACAAAAAATAAACTCAAAAAGGAAAAAAAAGACAAATAAGGAGCAGAAGGCCGCGGCGGGCGCGATGGCGCGGAAGCCGAACATCCTGGTGACCGGCACCCCCGGGGTCGGCAAAAGCAGCCTCAGCGCGCAGCTCGCGCAAGAGCTGGGCCTGGAGCACTTGAACGTGGGGGAGTTGATAAAGTCGGAGTGTCTGTACACCGCGTGGGACTCGGAACTGGACTGCAGCGTCTTCGACGAAGAGCTGCTGGGCCAGCGGCTGTTTGAGCTTTTGGGGGCCCCGGGGGCCCCCGGGGGCCTCGTGGTGGACTTCCACAGCTGCTGCTGCATGCAGAAAAGTTGGTTTTCTCTCGTTTTTGTCCTGAGAGCCAACACAGAAGTCCTTTATGACCGCCTCCAGGCCCGCCTTTACCCCCAGGCCAAAATCCAACAAAACTTGCAAGCCGAAATTTTCCAAGTCCTTTTCGACGAGGCCACGGAGGCCTTCGGGGCCCCCAAAGTCCGCCAACTCCCCAGCAACGACATGCAAGACTTCGCCCAAAACCTCAACACCATCAAACGCGCCTACCACCAGCTCCTCCAAACCCAAGACTCCCCCAAATAGACTCCCAGGGGGCCCCAAGGGGCCCCGGGGGGCCCCAGGGGGCCCCAGGGGGCCCCAGGGGGCCCCAGGGGGGCCTCGGGGGGCCCCAGGGGGCCCCAGGGGGGCCTCGGGGGACCCCGGGGGGCCTCGGGGGGCCCCGGGGGGCCTCGGGGGGCCTCCTGGGCGTTGAGGGGGCCCCTGGGGGGCCCCCGTACTTGGGGAGGGCCCCTGGGGGCCCCTGGACCTTGCCTCGGGGGTTCCTTGAACGAGGGCCCCCTGATGGGGGCCCCCAAATTGAGAGGGGGCCCCTGGAGGTGGGTTTTGTTGAGGGCTTTTTGAGGGGCCTTTTGGGTACTCGGGGGGCCCCTTGTTGCTTCTTTGGGGGCCCCGGGGGGCCCCCAAGTAGGCAGTAGTGAGCAGCGCTTTAAATGCCAAGTTGGCCGTCTTTGGGGGCCCCCCAGGGGCCCCCCAGGGGCCCCCAGGGGCCCCCAAAGGGGCCCCCAAAGGCAGCTGAGGGCCCACCGGGGGGCCCCAAAAGGGGCCCCAAAGGGGCCCCCAGGAGTTTACGGGGGCCCCCACGGTGGCCCAGGGGGCCCCCTTCTAGGGGGCCCCTCATGGGACTTTCTGGGGACTCGGGGGGCCCCAACAGACAATGGGGGGCCCCCCAAACATTATAGGGGGCCCCAAGAGACAATAGGGGCCCCCCAAGGAACGCAGAGGGCCTGGGGGGCCCCCAAGAGGCAATAGGGGGCCCCCCAGGGGCACAGAGACCCAGGGGGGCCCCCAAGGGGCAATAGGGGGCCCCCAAGGGGCACAGAGACCCAGGGGGGCCCCCAAGGGGCTCCCCGGGGGCCCCCCTGGGGGGCCCCTTGAGGGGTTTCCCTGAGACTGCTGCAGCTCCGAGCTTCTGCAGGCGCTGCTCATGCTGCTGGCGGGGGCCCCTCCGTGGGGCCCCCCCTGGGAGGTCCCCTGGGGCCCCCCTGGGGGGCCCCCTGGGGCCCCCCTGGGGGGCCCCCTGGGGCCCCCCAAGGGGCAATAGGGGGCCCCCAAGGGGCACAGAGACCCGGGGGGCCCCCCATTGTCTTTTGGTCTAGACTTTGCTGTTTGAGAGAGGGTTTGGCAGACAGTGTCTGTACACCTCAGCCGCCTAGTCTGGCGAATACTCCAAACCCTAAATTGGTGTTTACTTCTAACTCTACATCTCTTGCTCCCTGCAGGGAAATAGTAGACTGCTGCTGCTGCTGCTGCTTGCCGCTGCTGCTGCTGCTCGTTGCTGCTGCTGCTGCTCGTTGCTGCTGCTGCTGCTCGTTGCGGCCCTTATTTGTTGCAGTTCGCGTTTTGGGTAAATTGGGGTGTACAGACACAGCTCGGCGGGCGCCGCTGCGTCTGCGCCGCCGCATGTCAATTAATTAATTAATTTAATTAATTTAATTAATTAATTAATTAATTAATTAATTAATTCATTAATAATTGATTTTTTATTCTTTTGTGGACTTCTGGTCCACCGGGAAACTGATTTCGGGGTTTGGCTGTTGAGGTGTCTGTACACCGCAGCTGCGCGCACGCAGGCGCGCGGCTTTCGTTCAATTTTTGCGGATTTTGGGCGTTTTTTGGCGCAATTGAATCGAAATGGAGCGAACTGAACGAATAAAAGGAAATAAAATGGAAATAAAATGGAAATTGGTGCAAATTAAACGAAAGACGAGCGAATTTGGCGCCAAATCGGCGAAGTTTCCACTTTTAGTCTTGCTCGGCGATGGCCGTCAAGTGCGCCTCGATCTCCTGTTCAGACAGCAGCCGAAAGCTGGGATCGCTTTTCGTCACGATCCCAACTTCGATGTCTT